GGACATGAGGAAGAACTTCTTTGCTGGGCAGTGACCCAGCACTGAACAGAGACCAGAGAGGGTGTGGAGTCTCCTCTCTGGGGATGTTCCAGACTCACCTGGACACAATCCTGTGCCATGTGCTCTGGGATGACCCTGCTGGACAGGGAGGTGGGACCAGATGACCCCACTGTGCTCCCTTCCAACCTGACCCATCCTGTGAAAGCATCAGATGCCAGAAATTAATGTAGTTTTTCTTGTATTTCTGTGGTTTAAATTTGATCTCTTGCATCTGAGGACAATATCATTTATACCAACTCTTGGAGGGCTTTCATCCATTGCCTCTTGAAAATACCTGCAGTAACTCCCCCTCATGTTTAGTCCCCTTGTGCTCTGAAGCACATTGAAAAGCTCAGCTTTGTTCTGAGCCTGCAGTAGCATCATGAAGGTGATGAAAGAAGAAAGAAGCTCCAGCTGCCAATAATACCAACCTCTTGAAAATGTTTTGAAAAGTGGGTCCACTGAATGTATTGAAATGAAAGGCTAAAGGCTTTGCAGGAGTATGATCCCATTTTATGTGGCTTTTCCCTAAGTTTCAGTGCCCTCTTAATGAGAAACTGATTCTCACTTTCAAATCCATTGCAGTCACTTGGAAGACAGCACAGGGCTTATGGATCAAAATACATGTATAACTAAGGGAAAAGCTCTCAGAAGTTGGTCTGGCAGACTTTCAGGCTTCCTTCTGTAGAAGTCCAGTGGTCACCAATCAAACAAATGGCTGTAAAATACTTCAGCTGATTTCAGACTTAAAGAAAAAGCACCGTGACCTCATGAATAGAAAAAACCCCTTCATTTACCAAACCCAAGTTTTTATTCATTTTCTTTGACAATATTCCCCTCTCCCTGAGGGGAAGTCTGGAGATGTGCAATAAATGTGTGAATCCATATTCCAGCACTCCATCAATAGCAGACTGAACCTGACAGGTATAGCCAGGGGAGGAAAGAGAAGCTTTCATAAAGCTTAAGTAGCACAGCCTCAAATGCTCAGGAAATAAGACAACTTGGAAAAGCATTTAAAAATATACAGGGGAGGAAAAAGCAATATAGTTACCTTTTTACTGAAAGGAAAATCCAGCATTTTTGGGGTTTTTTTTGGGGTGGTCCTAATAAATGAACACTAAAATCTAGTTTAGAATGTTGATTGGAATTGAAATATTAACCAAACAAAGTCATAAAGGTTAACATCCTTAGCCAAACTGATTGTTGGGTGGATTTATTGATTCCTGGCCGTTGGTAACTTATGCTTTTGTCAAAGATGTTTATCCCTTCAGAATCCCTTTCTTCGATGTTACTGGGGAAGCTTTCTCTCCTGCCTCGGCTCTGAGGCTCCAGGGAGGAACAAATAATGTATTTCCATTTTGGGGGGAGGCTGTAGCTGTGGTTGAGGCTCAGAGGTGTTCTCTCTGGGGCTGCTGTGTCTCGTTGCACACGGTGAGAGATGAGGCAGAGCCAGCAGAGACAAGACAGATGCACTGAAGTCTGTCATGGAGAAGGAGATGGGGCACCATTGGAAACCACGTGCAGCTCTTGTACTCTCCTGAGGGGGTGGAAGAACTTGCTTTCCCCCTTCTGTGTCAGAGCTAAGGACACATGAAGGTTTTGTGTGTACATCGTGATCAGCTCCACACACAAGAAGGACCTTGAAAATACCACTGCTTTGGAAGATGAATGGCAGAAACCAGGGCAGCAGAGAAGGTTTTAACCAGATAAATATATATATGTACACTTCAGATAAATCTGTCTGTATGAATTTTCATTTGAGAATCGACACTGTCCATATTTTGGTACAAAGCATTTGGTTTGCAGTGCTGCTGTAGCTGTTTAACTTCCCTCATGCAGGAGGGTGCTCTGCCTCTGATGGCTGAATGCAGCTGGATTTACTCACTGAGTTTAATACTCCTGGATTTTTACATGTACAACCCCAGAGGACGAGTTCTTTAAACAAATATGAATAATTTTGCATAAGGAATGTAAGTTTTGCCATATTTGCCAAAGTACCTTAAGGTGCTAAAGTGCCTGTGAGATGTTTTCTAGGGGACACAGAATAATTTTCACAGAGTGACCATTCCTAAGCTGGGAAGTTCCCTGGCAGTGTAACCACACCAGTACAGCCCTGCCACTGTAAATATTTGGACTGCAGTGGTGTTGGTGACTTAAATCAGTTGGTTCCATGGAAAGTCAGGAGGCTATTCCTTGGACAGAGTGAGCTGAAGTGGGAAGTTCAGTCTTCTCCTGTGGCCAAAGCAGAAAATGAATCTCTTAAGGAAGGAGATTCTCCTTTGTTGCTGATGTATTTACAGGAACATTCTTTTTTTTTTTTTTTATGGCACTGGCCAAATTAACTTCTAGTTGGGCTTTGGCCTTTAGAATTTTCTCCCTGCAAAAACCTCACAGCATCCCTGTAATCCTAATGAGTCATGGACAGGGAGGCACAGCAGAGAGCTGAGGAGATGAGATGATGGGCTGTAGCTCAAACCCTTGCACTGCTGGAAGCTTCATTACACATATCCCATCGTTGACGTGGGATAATTATATCCAGGGGCACACAGTGATGCAGCTGTACCTAAATCAGAGAACATAAATCCTTTGTTAGGTTGGAAAAGACCTCCGAGATCATCGAGTCCAACCTTTAAATAGTATTAAACGTTCCTGTTCTGATTGGTCGTGTTTAAAGCAACGTTTCGTGAGAGTGAATGACCATCCAACATAAATAGGAGAAATCCAGGTGTAACTTCCAGTAATTCCAAGGGGAAAATGCACGTTCAAAGTGTGTTCTAACCACTTGTTTTGTTGTTTCTTTTTTTCCCCCCCCGACAGAGACAAGGAACCGGAGCTACAAATGGAAAAGACAAGACATCTGGTGAGAATGGTAAGGGGAGACTTTATTTCTTGATGGAGAATATTGAGTAAAATTGAGCCAAAATATTTGGTAGGTGTCTGGTAGCAAAAGGCTTTGGCCGTGTTTTAAAACCTGGGAGGGCTTCAGTGGGTTTGTTTTCTTTCTGTTTGTATGTTTGAATCCTTTACTAAAGCAGAGACCTGATTCCGAGCACGTACTGTGGTAAATCAAAGGACCCCACAGAAGTCAGAACAGATAAAAATGAGGCTAAAACAAGATTGGGTACGTGGGAAAAGGGCACCAAGGTGGGAAAAGGACACAGGGAGATGAGGTTAAGCGTTATGAGCAGCTTCTCTGTGAATGGAGAAGGTGAAGAGAAATAATCTGGTTACAAGGGACTTACTCATGAACATAATTTCTGTGGTCTGATTCATCCCCCCCTGATTTTAGGCCCATAACTAAGGTACCAAAGTTAGAAGCCACTTGTGTAGAGTGTTGCTACAGAGAGGCTGTGCATGGAGTGGCTCACATGGAAGGAGCAGATGGCAAACAGGCTCCAAACTTCAGCACTTGTCAGGAGTGAATCTGGACTTGTACCCACCGCTCTAAGGGGGTGACTCATTGGGTTTTTTCAGACTTTAACAAAGGAGCTGGAAGAAACCAATCTCAGCCCTTTAAGTGGCACAAACAATTCTAATTGGGAAATGTTGATTTTTTTCCCCCTCCACACCGTGAAAAATGCAAACCTGAATTTTCAGGGAAAACAGTAATTGGTTTTGTTTTGTTTTTTTTTTTTTTTTTTAAGCTGAAATCTCATTTTATTTCCTATAGGAGCAGAAGTGCTTTACATACAAATGACGAAATTATCAAAATCCAGTTATCATTTTTCGAAGGAAAGCAGTTTGATCAGTTTTTATTATATACCCAGCTGAAAATGAGGCAGCATCAGTTGGAAGATATTCACGAACAGGATGAGGACTGAACTATACAAATATTCTCTCTGCTTCTGTTTGCTCATCCAGTTCTAATTAGAAGGATGTGTTCTGGTGTCCCATCTACTGAAAAGCAGGAAGAATCCTCTGAAAAGCCCAGGGTTTTCCAAATGGGTTATTTGAGCAGTTATTTAGGATATGCATTTTGGCCTTTAAGTGTTGGTCTAAACAGAATTTTTTGGCCCTTTGAGACAACACATCCTAAAGCATTAAGAGCCTCCTTTATGGGTAGTTTTCCTATTGCAGGGAGGTGACTTTCCCATAAGGGCTGTTTGCATATTGTTACAGTAAATGAAATCCGTGGATGATGTTCCCAGTATGATAAAACACAATTTGGAGTGGAAGAAAAAAATAAAAATAAAAAAAAAATATATATTTTGGCTTGTTATAGTGTCTTGAATTAGTGGGAACAAATGTACCCTGACAGCAAAGCAATTTGCATTCCCAAGTTAACAGGAAAGGAAAGCAAGCAAAATTATGTCAGCCATTGGGGCAGCTTTGCAAGCTTGTTTTTCTCTTTACTGTTTGAGCACATTATGAACTGGGCTCATTTGCCTTGAGTTTCTTCCCAAATAGAAAATTTCTTCACATATAAAATGGTCCTGTTGTCAGGTTTAGCTTAGATTTACTGATCCTGCAGCCTCTTTAAAAGCAAATTCTTTTTTCCTCAACGGGGATTTTGAGTGAGCAGGGGCTGTGTCATTAATTCACAAATATATATGATTCTGGTTGTAGCATAATTTTTTGTATAATATAGAGGCAGAGGCACAGTTAATCTTGGGCAAATAGATACCAATTATTTTTTGTAATGAAATTATAACAGAAAAGCTGTCACCTACATAAAATACAGGAGCAGCAGGGGAGATGGAATAGATTCCTCTGATCTCCTCAACCCACATGCTTGCATAAAAATAAAGCAGAATCAGAACTTTGAACCTGAGATTGAATTCTAAATCAAAGAAGCAGAAATGTATAACTCTTTGTCCTTATTAGCTCTGTGTAGTTAGAACTCAAGCAGACATGATTTATTGCTCTGAAAATTGGGGTGTGCTATAAACCTTCATACACAATATAAATCCTTTTTTTTTTTACACGTTTTTTGGCCAGAAGTCTGTAATATGTCCACATCTTAGATGTTATTAGCATCTTCTTTGAGTATTTGTTTCCCTGTCAGAAGGAAACTGTCCCTCTTGTTTCCCTCTTGTTGACAAGGGGGGAGGGTGGAGAGGCAAAAAACCCTCTCATCTTACTGAAAAGAAAGAAAAAGGAAAAAAAGTCATGCTACGACAATGTTTGCAAAGGCAAATTAGTCTGGTTGCTGTTCTTGCTCTTGTTTACAGATCACGAAAACTGCTGAAAACTGGCCCAAACAACAAATAAAAATGCTTGGCTGTTCTCAGAGTTTGATTCACACAGTGAGACACTGCTGTGGGTCAAGCTTTGTTCGTGCATTGCAGCAGAAAATGAATTTTGGGTCTGCCTCTGGGCTAGGTTGAAACTGAAGAAAATAAAGCTAATGACCATGGCAATCAGCATTGTCCCTCTTTGAAGACGTGTCTGGCCCTGCTGTCACTGTGCAGCATCCAGGGAAATTCAGTCTCTGAAGGTTCCTTTTATAGCAGTGATAGTTTTGATGGACAGGAATGCATGTTCTTGTTTGACCTTCGTTAGGCAGCACCAAGATATCCTTGATTGTGTTTAGTTCCTCCCCCCACAAGCAGCAGTGGTTGCTCTCAGCAAACCTTCCTTCCAGCAGAAGGAGCTGCTCTGCTGCATCCACACAGGATGGGTCAGGATGGAAGGGACCACATTGGGGTCATCTGGTCCCACCTCCCTGCTCCAGCAGGGCCATCCCAGAGCACATGGCACAGGATTGTGCCCAGATGGTTCTGGAATATTCCCAGTGAGGGAGACTCCACACCCTCTCTGGACAATCTGTTCAGTGCTGGGTCACTGCCCAGCAAAGAAGTTCTTCCTCATGTCCAGGTGGAACTTCCTGGGCATCAGTTCCTGCCCGTTCCTCTTGTGCCATTGCTGGGCCCCCCCGAGCAGAGCCTGGTCCATCCTCTGCCCCCTCCCTGCAGACCCTCCAGACCTGGGGGAGGTCCCCTCTCAGTGTCTGCTCTGGAGGCTGAACAGCCCCAGCTCCCTCAGCCTTTCCTGCTCCCAGAGATGCTCCATCCCTTCAGCATCTCCACAGGAGAATCATCTTCCAGCAGCTCCCTGTCCCTGCTGTCCTGAGCAGCCAGAGCTGGACCCAGCCCTGCAGATGTGCCTCCCAGGGCTGGGCAGAGGGGCAGGATCCCCTCCCTGACCTGCTGGCAATGTTATTCCTGATGCATCCCAGAATCCTGCTGGCCCCCAGGACACACTGCTGCCTCAGGGACAGCCTTTTGTCCACCAAGTCCTTCTCCACAGAGCTGCTCCCCAGCAGGTAATCCCCAGCCTGTGCTGGTGCCTGGGGTGGTTCTTCCCCAGGTGCAGGACCCTGCATTTGCTGTTGTTTGAATTTCAGAGAGTTCTTCCCTGCCCATCTCTCCAGCCTGACAAGGTCCTCCTGAAGGGCTGCACAGTTCCCTGGGGTATTGGCCACCCCTCCACCTTCGTGTCACCAGTGAACTTGCTGAGGAGGCACCTGCCCCTTCATCCAGGCCATTGACGAACAAGTTAAACAATTCTGGGCCTGGTATTGAACCTTGGGGTCACCACTAGTGACAGGCTTCCAACCTGACCTTGTGCCACTGGTTATGACCCTCTGGGATCTGCTCTGCAACCAGTTCTCAGTCCACCTCACTGCCCACTCATCCAGCCCTTACTTCCCGAGTTAGCCTACAAGGATGTCATGAAAGTGAGTGTTGAAAGCCTTGCTGAAGCTGAGATAGACAATGTCCACTGCTCTCCCCTCATCCACCCAGGAGTTATTTCATCAAAGGAATCAAGTTGGCTGAGCATTTACTTTTAGTGAATCCGTGCTGACGAGTCCTGATCCCCATCTTGTCATCCATGTGAGATACATTCCTATAAAATACACCAGCATATCTTCTTGGGTTTTATGCAGCAACAAGCCTGGTAGTTCTTGAAAGTGTGTCAGTATTATAAATACTGCAAAATCACTCGTGTTGGAGTAACTTCTACTCACATTAAGGGTTTTGCTGTTAATCTTTAATGGCCTTACTGGATGCTGGTCAAGTCCTAGATGACATTTGTCAATCTTGATCTTTTAAACAAGTTGTAGTTTTTCTTTTTACGGGTTATGATCAAAGTCAGGTGGTGATTCATGTTGCCTTACAATGTGCTATCATGGTGCATCCGTGGCTGGTGAAGTGCATGGAAGAGTTTCTGGTGCATCAGTGGGCACTGTGTAATGCCGAGTAGCATTTCCATCCAAAACATCCTCTGCTTCTGTCAGGAAAGTGTATGTAATTTAATTTTGTTGTTAGAGTGGGAAGAACAAAGGTATTATTTGGAGTAAATCACAAAAACTAGTTTTCCTGGGTGAAAACTGGTCAAAGGACTATTTTTAAAGCAACACCACCCTAATAATGTAATTATTACACACAGCAATACTCTGTGTACAGAAGCACCTGCAATAAAAACAACTTGTACACAGGAGCCATATAACTGTAGCTGCCATAACCCCTTTGGGTCTTGAAGGACCTCAGTCTACCTGAAACCCAGGAGCTATTTATTTGTGAATACCACTGCAAACTTAACTTCTAAGCTCTACGATGTAAAGCTGTTCTCTGTGGTAGAAAATCCAAGGGGACAAGAGCAGTACTATCCCCATGCACCTCAGTGTGGGACAAGAAGCTGTAATTTCCTATTTTGCTCACCTGGTTTGATTAGCTGGGACAATCATGTTTGCAGATGCATCCTAAATGAAAACAGAATGTTCCTCCCTTACTATTCTTACTACCTCGGCAATGTCACCGAGTTCCTTTGTAGGTTAACACTTGTCACTTCTTGTTCTGTTTCACATTGCCCTGTGGTTTTTTTGTTTTGTTTTGTTTTGTTGGGTTTTTTTTTTTGCAATGTAAT